TAAGTAAAATCTTGCAATCTTGATGATTGATCAAAACAAGGCTTATGTTAGATTTGAAATTTTGATTTGTGAGCATTCATATTCGAACTTTAGATCATAGCACATTCGGACTTTAGGCACGAAGTAGCACTTGTGGGTAGCCTGTTGGGGGAAAGTTGAATGCATTTACTGATGTTAGCCAGATTAAGCCACACTTCAAAGATCGGACGAATGTGAAACAAAATCAAAAAATATTTTATAAAACATAATATTACTTTTATTTTATGTCATTGATTTATTTATTTTTTTCCTTCATTTCAAATAATTGAAAATATTTTTAAGATTCAAAATCTTATATTAAATCTATACAATTTTAATAAACAGATAAGAAATTTCAAATAAAAATTGATGATTTTATGAAAAGAGTATGATAATAAGCATCTAATCCAATATTTTGATAAAGTAGGAAAATAATATATTGTAGATTTGATGAGGCTTCACAATGAATCGTATGTTGTATTGTTTTATTTTCTAATTACGATCTCAATATTTCTTATATATTAATCTAAAATTATACTCTTCATTAATATTTTATAATATTGTGAATTGTAAAAAAAATTCAAATTTTTTTAAAATCATGTGAAAATGTCAATTATAGAGATATGTACTTATAAATAAATATAATTATTGTGTAATATATTTGATATTACATTCTAAAAGATTGAAAATTTTGTTTTGTCTTTTTTCTATATATTTATTTCACGCACACATTTTTGAAATCAATGAAGAAACTTGAAAATTATTTGTTTGAAACTTTTTACATAATATTATAAATTATTTCATATAAACAATCTATGATTGCATGCTAGAAACAAATAACGAAAAAAAAAAATATTTTAAGTATACATTATATGTATTAATTGTACCGGTTAAAATTAAACAAAATACTAATGTAAGTCTTAAGCAAGGCATGATGTTATTAAATTTTAAATCATACTAAGAAAAATTACAATCATATTCATAATATGTTTACTTTTCTTGATTATATCATAGTAATATTTGATCTTCATGTGTATAAATTTGTCCACAACCGAACTAAGTATCATTATATGTTTTCAAACATCAAACAAAAAGTCATTATGTTTTGATATATGTTTCAAAAAATTTGTATTCACAAGCTCAAAATTATGCTAGTTTAGATTGCAGATACTAATTAAAAAAGCTTTAAATGTGTTGTTTGAAATAATCTTAAAATATCTCAACAATATCATTTCCTATGCAATCATCGATTTTGAGAATATTCAATGATAGTTGTAAATTATTAATTTCAAAATAAAATAAAATTGCATATCTTAAACTATTATCAAATCTTGTTAATCCTTTTTTTCTGTTATTTATTTTTTTGAAAGTCACATGTCTTAACAAAAATTGAAATTGAAATGCTACAAGGATTTTGTGAACCAATAGTTTTATCATTCAAGTACATAAAGTTTTCCAATATGTTTAAGTTGAAAATGCAATTCATAATTGCGTATTGTGATAAAGAGTTGTGTTCCAACCGTAGGTGGATACCATAAGGAGCTTACTCAGTATCAAATTCCAAGTTCTTATTTCTTGTGATTTTTTCTAGTCTGAAACACAATTTTTTCAAAAATGTTATTAAGTCATGATTTTTTTCCCACAATACCAAGATACAATACATATCAAGTTCTAGTTATATATGAATGACAGAGTTCATTCAAACTCACAATTCATTCACTAAATTCTAGCATTGTCTACAGGGTTTTCAGAAAATTTACAACTGATAATATTTGATGTAAGGATGATAAGAGTTTGTGGTTAAAAACTGTTAACCATTCATGAGCCTCACATCTTCTTACACTAGGATGAAAATTATTATCCATTTGATATATAAAAAAGAGATTTAAAAAAAGCATGTCTAATATTACATGTACAAAATTTATAAATTTAATCTTTATAGATATTTGAACACTCTTGATATCTTTATATACTCATGATAGCTTTGCATTGTTTTTCAAATAAATGACATGTGTTATTCCAGTAGAAGAAAGTTTGACCGTCTTAAATGAAAAACTTGAGTTCACTTCCATTTTTCGGTCCATGGATTATCAAATAAGATCTTGATGTACTCACAATCTAACAGGATCTACAGTCTCTTGTATTTTCAAAATTTGTTTATGTTTTTGTTCCAAAAGAATGTATATTCATGAATATTAGTTTCACCATGCATCATTAATTTGTGACTTACATTAAGATTTCATCCTACATCAATGACATTTTGATTTGCATTGATACATACACTGATGCTTTAATATTCACATTATGATTTGAGTTGATGCATACATATACGCCTTAATAATCACACATGAGCATGACATCAAAGTAGGAAACATATTCAATCTTCATTCCAAGGGCTGAGTATACTGACTCCTGATTTCATTAAAGATTCTACTATTGAAATGACGGGAATAACTCATATAGAAGGAGTGTCAACTCGGATAAAGTCAAACCTTCATTTGGGGACAGGGAATCATTTTACTAGATGAGCAATCAGGTTTCATATCTACACATGACAACTTTGGAGTGTATGTTTATCCATGATCATGATTAAAAAAAGTAAGTAATGGAAGAGAAGAGAATTATTAATGATTATAGATATATAATAATAATATTGATAACTATGACGTAAGTAACTTATATTAATTCTGACTTCAAAAGTTTGAATATACTCTTCAACACAATCGTGAGAAAAAAGGTGAAAACTTATCGTAGTACGTGACATGCCTTACAGTATCATATGAATTTAACAATTTCTATAATCTATCAAATGAAACTTGAGTCAACTGCTCTACAAAGATGATTTGTCGGTGGGATGGAGAAGCAATGGTTACTCGAATACTCGATACACAATAATGGAAATGATACGACATATTTTTCATCTTTATGTTCTTGTTGTCCAGCCCATGCCCAGGCAATATCGAAGGGGTATGGCAAGCTCTTTGCCAAAAGTAGTGATTGACGGGGTCTCAGCTCGTCCTGTGCAACGAGTATCGATTCATCCATAAAGCATACGACGGGGTCTGTGCTTGTCCTGGAGGCCAGAGTGCTGCTTGTCAAAGGGCTGTTGACAAAGGCTGTCGTGACATTTGTGGTGCACAAAGGTCCCACGATGGAACAGATAGAGGGGATCATGCGGGCAGAATGAAGGCGTCGTCCTTCCATGTGTCCGGTACTGTACCGAGCTCGGGACCCGTGGGACGGACGGAGCCCAGCCCAGCGAGTCGCTCGCATGGATCCCATGATGGGGCATGCATGCATGGGCGCGCATGGCCCGACGCATGTCATGGGTCGCACAACCAGCCCATGGGCCGGAATCAGCTCACGAGTGCGCTAATCATACCTCCGAATACGTTAAGGCGACCTCACCCCGCGCCGAACTGAGGAGAGAATCGCAGCCGTCCCCTTCCAAACCGGGCTGGATCTCTGCCGTTGGTTCCGAGGGCCGAATCCGGCGGGTACACGTGTTGCTGACCGAGCAGGGAGCCTCACCGAGGGGTACTCTCGCCGTCATTTCTCCGTCGTTTAGCGTGGGCTCGCAGGTCGTACCTTGTCTGAAGACGGGTTCCAGGGCCCGCGCTCGCAACATTACTGCGTCACATCATATGCCCGTCTCTCTCCACCCCCTCCCCCTGGTAACTCTCGCCGCGCTAACTGTCCCCACTCCTGCTACTCTTGACCCGGCGTCCGGTACTCCCCCCCACCCCCCCACTGGAAAACACGCCGGTTTTCGGTTTGGAAAACCCCCGGGGCCGTCTCCACGGGCCCCCCGTGACGAGCAGAGAACCGAGCTGAAACCGAAACCGAACCCGAAACGGAAAGTTGTCTCCCCTCGAGATCTCTCTCTGACTCTGACTCGACGGGCAGGAGATGGATTTGGCGCGCGCTGCCCTCTCTGCCCGGAAGCCGTAGGAGATCTGGACTCCGGTCTCGGGACAGTGGCGCCGTACAGCGGCGCCGATCTAGTGCCGATCAGACTGGTCACGGTACAGTCCCGCTCTCTGCAGAGAAGCTCTTCGTCGTCGTCGCACTCGAATGCACAGATTTGGTACAGAGCCTCCGGCGGGGCGCTCTCATAAGGTACTCGCCCGCTCAGTCCCCGACGGGGACCGGACCGACCTTTGGCTGTGCCTTGTCCCACCCGGTAACTGTCTTCGTGGTGCGCTCCGTGGTCAGCGTCGAGGTGAACCGTGGTCGACAGTGAAGAGAGGAGAGGCAGATGTGCCTCGTCCAAGAAGACGAAGACCTTGACTGCGGGAGGGAGCATAGTTCCGTCCCCCGTCCAGCTCCCACCCGGTTCCCACAACCGCTCGCTCGTTCTTCGGTTCGGTACTCGTCGAAGACGGTACAGAATCCTCCTCCTGCTCCTGTACTGTACCGCTACCGCTGCCCCAACCGCGTACCCGTTAGCATATCCGGCACAATCCCTCCTCGTCCGGCGATACGCACACTGTGCTCGTCGGCGAGGATTCCGTCGGGACAAAGATAGTAACTCGTCAACGCAGTGTCGCTCGGAGCCTCGTCTCCCCGGAACGCGGTCAATCCAGCCCGGAATAGTAACTACTAGACAGCGGGTCGCCGACTGGCTCCCGACCTCGGGACAGCCACGATACCGGTCTGGCGTCGGGGGTCTGCGGACTGAGGGATGCTGACAAACTCCGGCGGTCGCCCGAAGGGGGCAGCTCGTCGGATGTGGAATTGGAGCTGAGCTCTGCCACCTCGTCGTCCGTCTCGGTCACGGAAGGCACGGCGCAGCGAGGGACGGAGGAGCGGAGGAGCGGGGGGCGCCATGGCGCCGTTGTCGTCGTCTTCGTCGCCGTCGTATCACGTGTCCTGATGGCGCGTCGCTGATTCGCGGCTTCGGCTCCTGTCACCGTACGGACGTACGCGCGCTCGCTCGGCCCCCTCCCCTCGGCCTCCTCCTTCTTCTGCCGGGGCCGCTGGTTCTTCGAGGTTCTTGCGCTCGGACTTGTCTGACTGACCCCCCGGGGACCTCTTCGCAGGCTTGTGCACCTCCGCTCGTGATCGCCATCGCTGCTCGGGGTTTCGGCACATCTGGGGCCCCCTGCTGCCTCCCGCTGTCTCCTGCCGGCCTTTTCCAGGCCCTCCTCGCTTTCGGACGAGGTCTTTTCGTGGTGGTTTGCCCTCTGGCTGCATTGTGCAAGCGCGAGGCGAGATATGGTGGTCTGCATTGCGCCCATGCCTCTAGTTCTGTCTCGGGGGCCTTGCCGGGTGGCCATTCGCGGCTCCGGTGCTCGGCTGTGTCCTGCTGCGGTCTGAAGTGAAGCAGGGGGGCGAGTGTGTCGGGAGCTTCGTAGTTCGGTCGTAAATTGGAGATCTATGGAGGACAGGCTCAACAGCCATGGGGAGATAGTCTCGTGATTCTGAAACTGAAGAGCGCATTTCCATCTGCGAGAGAAGTAGATCGTGGGTTTTCTCATAGCTTCTCCGAGCTTTGCCCTTCGAATTGCCGTCTGCATGTAAGTTTCTGAGGAGGGAGCATCGAGGATACGAGTATGCACTGATTTTGTCATCCCGAGTTAGATCCACGTGATCCGAGGCTCTTCTTCTAGGTTAATCGCACACAGGAGCTGCTGAACTGAACAGCTGCCCCCGAGTTTGAGCTAGACGCCGGGGAAGGGCCTGGGCTCAAGGTGTTTTTTTCTATCTGCACTCCTTGCAATGACGGAGAATGTGCGCTGAGCAAGCTGTAGCAAGTACATAAATCTGTGTTTCACCACTTGTGGACCGGCCCGCACTGCGAGGCATTTTTTGGCGGCAATTTATTTTAGAACTGGATGTGCTCAACAGGTTATCATCATCGAGAATTTTAGCAGACCTCGCTCGCTGTGAAAGGCTTGGGGGATTCTTCAAGACGAAGCCAGCCTCAGGAAAGGCGAACTGTGTCTCCATTCTGCTCACGAGGCCCGTCTTTATTCCGAGCGCGCCGAGGATAAGGTTGAGGAACTCCGAACAAGCTCCTGGGAGCTGAAAACTAGGGCAACCGTCTCGCAGGATTCAAGGGATTGTACAAGTGGTTTGGATTGACGGTCACCTTGTGAGATGGTCTGAGGATGCCCAGGTGGAAGAAGAGAATTGATTCGGGTAGCAGTTGGTTCGAGACGGTAGTTTTATAAGCTTGACACTAGGTGAAATCGGCTGTGATCGATCTAGCACTTATTCACGGTCTGTGCTGTCATGGTCGAGCATATTAGCGATGAGGCAGTAGTTGAACCTGTTCGTTACAATGGCCATTTTCACTCCAGAAACGGACTCTGTGAGGTATTTCTCTCTCCTACAACGATAGATTTTTACAGGTTTGATTCGAATGTTGCGTGGACGCAGTCCTCATTTGTAAATTGCGTCCAGCTCTGGGTACACAGAAGATTGTTGTCAGTAGGGCCGACATTAATGCGCACTGCTGGATATCTCGTGAGAAAAGCTGGCTAGTTCAGACCCTAATATCTAGATAAACGTCAGCCGGGTGTGACCTCTTCGGACCCGTAAAGGTGTCCATGCTCAACTTTTTTCCCGTCCTCTATCCGACAGATGTGCTTTTATCGTAGATTGAGTTTGTTTGCTCGAGCTTGAGTTTGGCAATAATTTGCCTCGCCTTCTGTCTTCAGTGTGTTTCCACATATCACCAACTTTTCTTCAGGTCGTGGCATCCCTTCTCCGTCTTAAAAAACCACCTAACGTAAACGTACAGGCATGCAGGGCTTCGTTCTATTGACTTTTTTGGTTTGTAGCCAGCATGCTAAGAGCGAACTGTTGTGTGAAGCTTTTTGTTTCACCTACAGTTTAATTATTGGCTCCGTGGGTTTATTTAAACTCATAGCTTGAACGTAAACTTTGTGTACTTCATAGTGCATTCCCTCCGGCCTGGATTGGAACGCCGGTTGTCGTCGAAGATTATGGTTGGAATGGAATGTCAGTTGTTGAAACTGGAAGCTTTTCTCTGTACAAATTGTAGAATTTCTCAAGACTGATACTTTTTTATTATTCTCCCTTGGAAACCACAGATGGCCTTGAGTACATTCAGGAAACAGGGAGCGGTCCTTGATATGTTGGTAAGCAATGGCAAGGTAACGACATCTCTCGCCCTGGTCAGCAAATTCTTGTGCTCTTTTCCACCAGCACGATCTCAGTAAATCTAATGGGAGACCGTATTTGTGGACAGTACAGTTTGCGAATTCTTTTGTGAAACTTTCCTCTTTTTCCGTCTCTTGGGAATTGACAGTCATCACTCGGTGTTACATGCAGGAACTCTCGGGTGTGAAGGAGATCAAGAAAGTCACGTCGGTATGGAAGCTCTTCATGCTCATCTTGCTTGGAGCTTGTGGTCTCTACATGTGTTTGATCGGAGTTGATCATCGCGTCACCTCTCAGCAGTCATTCCTATCTTCACATCCAATGATGGACTATGAAGGTGCCTGTACAAAAAATTCCAGAAGTCCGTTCTCCGACATTCCAGAGCACTTCCCCCGACCACAAAAGTATGATAGGTAAGTTCTGGTATGCTAGTAGTCAAGTAGGTATCAAGCGATCAAAGTACCTGCGTAATGGCTTCAGCCTCGGCAGTTTTCGCAATACCTTTATTAAGAATCAAGTCAGAATGTTAGCTACAACCATCTCATCTATGCTACGTTGGTTTATGGCAGGGGTGAATGTGCCTGCACGTCTGTACACTATTTTGCCATCTTGTCTATGCAAAGATCAGGAAGTGGCTGGTTTGAAACCCTCTTAAACGACCATCCAAACATTAGCTCCCACGGTGAGATCTTTTCTGTTAAACCAAGGCGAGAAAATCTGACAACGATCATCCAGACCCTTGATGCTATATACAACCTCGATTGGGTCAGCAGTGCCGCGAAGAACGAGTGCACCGCTGCTGTGGGGCTGAAGTGGATGCTCAATCAGGTACGGAGCCGCATCAACACTTTCTAACCCTTTCAACCCGCGAATATAGCCCGGCGGATCAAGAACGTGTCAGCAGTAAATAGAGCTGGTGTATCGAGGCTGAGCTGTGCAGTATCTTGTTTGTCCACGTTTTTAGTCTGGGAGGCTATATGGGAACATCTAGTGAAGAATGGAAACCTATGATCTGATTCCCTGAAGCTTCCGCTTCACTTCTCAAATGAAGATTTTGATTACATCAGCTTGTTAATCTTGAGAGGTTTAATTGCGAACGCAATCAGTTGAGGAGTTTGTAGCTCTAGCTGGAGTGCTTTTATTACTTCCGAAAGCACCCAGCTAGAGCTAAAGTTCGCCCTTCTTACGTGGTTATTAGAAATTTGGGTAAAATAGTTGTTTGAGAATTGGCGTTGAGTAATTGGATATGACTGGAACTTGTCAATCACCTCAGGGAGTAATGGAGTACAACAGAGAGGTTTCAGCATACTTCAAGAGGAAAGGCGTTTCAGTCATTCTATTAGTGCGACGTAATATGCTCAAACGACTTATATCAATTCTAGCCAATGCGTATGATCGCCGCATGAAACCCCTGAATGGGACTCATAAGTCTCACGTTCATTCACATGAAGAGGTAATAAGTCTCGCTCTATATCACTGTGTACGTTGTAGTTTTACTAAGGAAGTGAACTACGCATTCCAATCTAGCCGATCAACTCTGTCCGTTCTGATATTGGATAGATATCTGGACTTGCTCTTTTGATCCTTACTGTACCTTCGTTATTCTCTTCCATGATTTCGTTCAGCGGAAGCATATCTTCAGCGCGATTACGTTATTGTATCTGACAGTTCAAACTTTCCTCTTTGTATCAGGCTAAAACTTTGGCAAAATATAAGCCCGTGATAAATGTCAAGCATTTACCCGACAATTTGCGTCGAGTACAAGAAATCACTGACGATGCTCTTCATTTTTTCAATGGCACTCGTTTGGCCCTTGTGTATTATGAGGATTTGGTGAGAAACCCCAAGGTATTGCAATGCATCATGCGCAGACTGGCCCCAGTCGTACCTGGTGAAGCTATAAGCCTCTATTCGTTTTCAGCATTTTCATGGCTGAGTGCATGTGAAGAGATGGCTGTCCTGTTTATAGAGTCATACAAGTGTGAATGGGAGTCTACGTGACATCCCAGTGCATTGTAGTTTATCCCAGTGCAATCCTTATTAACTCCTGTCTTGTAATGCAGAGCATCGAGACAGTACAGGAGTTTCTTGGTGTACCTGCGAGGAAACTGGAAAGCAGGCAGGTGAAAATCCACACCAAGCCATTGCAAGAACAGATCGAGAACTGGGAAGAAGTTCTCACTAGATTAAAGGGAACTGAGTTTGAAAGTTTCCTTGAAGATAACGATTATTCTAAATGAGGCGGAGAGCTCTTTGCCAAGCCTCATAAATCAACCCTCTAAACCTTGTGCAGATTTTCCACCCTTTTTCCCCTAGAAACACTTACGTGGATGTAGAAGACGGTCTCTTTTTAGTTTAGAATCCTCAGAGTTAGCCTGTCAAAGACACCTCGACGTGAGTTACCCCGTTGGAGCTGATACGTTTTTCAGCAATCGCTGAAGAATTGGCCATCCTTGATCTTCTGGAGAACCTGTCTTGATTCATGGGAGTTGCAAGTTTTCGGCAAACGACCTGTCAATCTCTTTCTTGGTCCATGAGGATTTCTTGGATCGTTGTATTTATATCAAAGATGAGATTATATGTCCAGCCTTGCAATTTTCAAGGCTGGATTGTTTTAACATTCACTCTTACCAGCTTGTAAGTCGTCAGTACTTGCTTGCAACGTCGCTCTCGTGTTTCTCAATACATAGAATAGCGTTATGAGAATGGAAAGTTTTCTTTCTTGGCCTCGCCATTTCTGTTCTCTGGAGTTGAATTTTGTACAATCTCATCGACCAATTTTACCGAGTTTTCAGCACCATCGAACTGTTGTTCCTAAACTCGTGGGCAGTTTGATATCATCATCTTATGGATCAGGCTGTTGCTAAGGGCTTGAACTCGTGCAAAGGGCAAGTCACGGATCACATCAACCTTGGACGTTTACTAAGTGCGGTACAGATGGGGCTGTATTTACACTGTTTTCCAATGCGAAGTTGGGCTTTATTGTGCTGGAATTCGGTTCCATGTAGACTTCTACTTTGAAGGTTGGAAACAAAATCCTAATAACTTGGGCTTTGCACACGCGAAATAAAAGTAGGCCCTCGGTGAATTCCTGACCACCTGGAGGCGCTCAAGGACGCGTAAATATTACTACCAATGACAATTGCTCTGTGGGCAGATACTGAGCACCAGCTTCCTGTTACCGGATACTTCAGGAATGTCACATGGTTCCTCACGACCGCACGTAGAATCGTGAAAGCGCACTGTTTGGACACTGTGGACTGGAAACGTGAAGAATTAATCAGTTGTAGAACTCACATTCTCTGCGCATGCTTCAGATGTCCCACCGTCCCATCCTTGCGTGTGTTTCGGTCGTCTCACTGGTCAGGAATTTTGTATATTGTGAAATTAGTGTCCGTATAAAGTCGAGGCAATAACTTGATGGCACCCCGGGGAAACTCAAAACACTTATGGGACCCAACAGCTTTCACTTTACCCTATTTCACTTTAACTATAGTTTAATAGCTTCTTATTATATATAGATTGTTTGTACTATAATAGAGTTTATAAATTTTTCATTTAATATAATTCAAATCATAATATTGGAGTTTCTACCCATAATGCCCTTTGTTTTTATCCTTGTGACTCATTCCTTTTTATCTAATTTATCATTCAAAAGGCCTCTCTAACGCATTAATATGAAAACATGACAAGAGACCGGTGGGTGCTGTAACCTCTCTAACAACGTTCACCCAGCGGCGACAAAAAGATCCAGCGGCGACAAAAAGATGCATCGGCCGGGAATCGAACCCGGGTCTGTTCCGTGGCAGGGAACTATTCTACCCCTAGACCACCGATGCTTTTCAGCGCCGCCCGGGGGGCTCGAACCCCCGACCACAAGGTTAAGAGCCTTGCGCTCTACCAACTGAGCTAGGGCGGCTTGTGCTCCTTAGTGGGAACAAATCTTTTATAATTTGTAAACTTTACAGTCATGTTAGTTACTGATTTCCTTTCTTTAGACTCTAAAATCGATGATTTATCAGAGTATGGCCGTCACTACACGATCATTCATTCTGTAACTACTAGAGAATATTACTAGTAAATTACATTTACCCTAGATGTTTTGTCTGCAGTCCATCGTCACACATTTTCTGATATGAGTCTTGTAATTCGATTAGAATATGAGCAGTAATAATTGATGCAATATCTGCAATGTATCTTCGCTGTTGCGAGACAGTTTTGTTAGCACCTGAGTGTCAAATGCGGGTAATCACTAATAAATAGAGGAGCAATTTTTATTGTTTTCTGCTAATGCGTGGATAGAGGGGCTGTTCGGGTATATGGGATGGTAACTATTAGAGGAGTCCATTTTGAGCATGTAGAGAAACTGGTGCGCTTCGCGATCCAATTTTTTTGATTAAGGAATCATCTTTGCCACGTATTCAACTCTGCCGTGTTGTAAATTACTACTAACTTCCCGGGTCACTACAAATTCGTATTGGAACATTGACAAGATGGCAATGCGAGGGTCCAAGTTGGGTGCAAGTATTTTCAGTATCGCAGTTTGTTGTATAATCACTATATCTGTAACTTGCATTTTTCTAGTTCTGCTGTGTGATAGTATCTATGTAATAAAGTACAACAATTCATGATAAATATCATGTGCAACAATCTTAACTATCATAATTATATTCAATTCTATGTAGAGTCCACATATATATCACATGCTCCTATTATACTCAAATTCTTATTGTACATTCAAAATTCATTATCATTATGAGATAACATTCCATAATGATACGAGTAACAATTATTTATCAAGATATTAGATTCTCTAACATTCAATTTCAGATCTCCATAATTTCCGCTAAACTGTTCAAACTGACACGTATACATCTTAGCCATAAGGACAAAAGTACTATCCGGACAAGTTGCTCCTTCACTTCGACGAAAATATTTTATATATTTCATGTAATATTTTCATAATTCAAACTACAGTCTTCTGACTGATCCTCGTAGTCATCGAACATGGTGTTGACACGAACAGTATCTATTTATCAGAATCTCGTTGTAGTTACAAAAAATTATATACAATCCTCCTTTCTCCTACCCCGACCTCGATCAGTAAGAAAAGCGTTACTAATATACATTGACAAACCGACCAAGGAAATCCAAAAGGTATTACATTGAGCCTATAAATGCTGCTTGCGCTCTCAAGTCATCACCAACCTGCCGATATGACGTTCCTCGATTGCTGAGACTAGTCGAGAAACTTCATGCCCTTAATGAACAAAATTGGGCACGGCAGTTGTGATCCTCATCAACCTCTCATCTCATTGTCCACGTTCCCAGAACTCACACCTTACCTGGTATATCTGCTGACTTCTTCCGGTACAGCTTCTCTAGATGAGCACGAGTGATATCCAGACTCTGAAAAGAACTTCCGGCTGGTTGTTGCTGAGTGATGCAGTGAATGTTCCCTCCTCCAAGTACGATTTCCCTTCCATTTCTTATCATCAGTACCTGTGTAAAAACCAGCCCACACAACTTACATGCTTGGGCTTCGTGTCTTTCCAAGACAACGTGTCTTCCCCCAGAAAGTAGATTTGTACAAGTACTCATACGTAGTAACAGCTGCACATGGCTTCATTAGGAAGTGCTTCACTAGCGTTACGTAAGAACAGGGAAAACTTTTACATTCCAGACCTACCTCATGCGAAGGGAACGTTTTGCGCAGAACATCAAAAGCTGCTTCATCATACTTTTCATCGCCAAAGGAAGGAGCTACTATGCCCCCATTAGCGATATAAAAGTTCACATAACTTGCTGCAAGACGTGTGCCAGCTTTTCTTGAGATAGCATCGTCACAGCCCTGAATACAAAATGCATACAATACAAGTCATATCATCGAGACAGTTTCACCGCATCGTATCAGCTAACGACTGAATTTACAAGACAGTCGACCTCGTCAATTCAGCACAACTATGGCGGGATGGTTAGTGAAATTACGCTTTCAACACCAGCCGCCTCAGAAGGGGTCATATACAGCGGACCTGGTATATGCATCTTTACAACGTCGAAGGCCCTCCCTCTCGCATCAGTAGTATTTACAAAAATATCTAACGCTTTCTGGGAACGCTCATATTGGGGGTCATTAACGTCATCAGTCCATGATAGCAAAACCACTCCTGGCCTGGCAAAACAGAGCATGTTATCAACATGCCCGTTTGTATCTTCATCACCTGCATTCGTTCAGGTGGAAAATGATCAAGGAGCAGTATAATTGCAACAACAAAATCCTAGCAAGTGTCTAGATCACACCTCACTGATCAAACTCAGAGCATGTCAAAAACTCAGGGCTCATCTGATACAAATATTGGCTTAGCTTTGGCGATAGATATACTTGCCATAGAGTCCAAGAGGCACCCAGATCACTTTCTCTACACCCAGGTAGCATTTAAGCTGCTCTTCAATCTGCTGCTTGGACATGTTGGGGTTTCGGTTGGGGTTCAGGAGACACTCTTCTGTTGTGAGACAAGTCCCTGAAGCAGCACCCAAGCATTTCCAATAGCCATTAGGAGAAAACAAATTAAAAAGTTGTTTCCCATTTCAAGGCTACTTGTCGGATCGTGTCTTCCAGCGGCGAAATCGCCCATCAGAATTGGTGCATCCAAGCTGTCAGTCTCATCCTTAATACGAAGAATTAGCTTGCAAAAACTAGCTAAGTTTAAGCATTTACCATTTATTACATGAAATGGATGTGGACTATTTAGCGAGAGTTGTTGAAACATACCTTCCCCGTCAACATGTACACTACCACCCTCTAGTATCATGGAGTGCGAAAATCTGGGTACTCGCTCGATTTCTAATATCTGTCGCATACCATTTTACACAGCAAATATCCGTGAGTGTAGGCCATAAACCTCCATTAATATCTGCGATGTGCCAGCTAGATTATTGAGGAACCTTGATCAATTTCAAATTTATGGACGATAGGTGGCCATTACGCTAAAAGACAAAATCTAACTGACATCCCATATCTGATTAAAGCTTCAAACAAAAGCACACTTAGTCTCTTGACTCTACTTGAAACCCGTGGCTAATTGCAATGAGGGCACTTAAGCAGGAATCAAAGTCAACCTTCGCTCCCACAAGCTCGTCCAAGCGCCAGTCATTGTAGGCCCCACCCGAGAGTCCTGTCAAATTGGGAACGTGCACAATGTTTGGAATTAGGCTAAAGCCAGCATAGAACATTCGTAGAAGCCTCTGTTCGGTAGCAGATAGTGACAAAGCCATGACAGCAGGGAACCATCGCTGAGAATGCCGCACTCGCGATATGAAACATGGCATAGAGACTTACCACCCCAAGAATTGAACTTCCAGTGAACTCCAACGACTTCCCTTGCCTTCCCAACGGCCGCAAAAGGTATGTCTCGCACTAAGAACTTCACAACAAAGAAGATATAAGATCAGAACCTCCTATAATTAGTCTCCGTTAACAATCGGAACACAATGAAATGAGAGCACCATACTACATATCTTGGCGGTTACAGATGATGACTAAATCAGGGTCTACCCTGATTTAGATAGAATTTTAGAATTTAGAATCTAATCAGATTTTAACTCGTCCTCTGGTTCAATTTCCTGACCGGACAACTAACAGATATTACTTCATGACTCCGAAGCAGTTCGCACTTACAGTAGGCCCTGTGTCTCGAAACCAGGCGTCGTTCATACTCATCTCCAAAACTCGCACATCAGAAGGTAGCTGTTTCCGAGCATTTTTCCACTGAAATTAAAAAACATAAGAGAGAATATCGTATAAGTACCGACAAACTTCGCAAATTAAATTTCATCTTTGCAAATCTGCAATAGTAGGGACGTTCGATGTTAGTCTCTCAGTGTATCACACGTACAAAGTTCTCTTGAAATGGCTTTTAGCTTCCTTTGTCTCGTGGAATACTAGCTCGCCAAGTGTGTTCATATAAAGGAGATGAAGATTAGAGATATAATAGATTTCAAGCATAGATTATCCAGCATATGATCAACTATTCTCCGAACCAAGAATCCAGAGTTTCGTTTTAGCGACACTCGACACATTTTGCGGTCGACTTTCTGACACTCCGTGAAGACTGATTCGGACCGTCAAGGATCACAAAGTCTTCTGAAATAGAGATGTGAGTGCAACTTGAAGGTTTAATTCGGTCTAGTGAGTTTATCCTGCTAATAGATCTTGAAGTTCAAATGTCACAAACCTCTTTTTGACTGGCACAAACTGTGACAGGCTCGAAACGAGAAATGGCAGTGACCACCTCGACGAATGCTTGTTGAGCTGGCCCTGCAGTGTCTCTCCAATTGTCACATCGCTCCTGCATAACCAAAAAGCTTTAGTCGATCCTGTAATTGAAAGCAAAATCGGTCGTAATACAAGTACGAAGCTGACTAAGAAGAGATTGCAAACACACAAATAGTTTTAGTAATACGAACGACTAATCGTATTTGTGAGGATCAAGGGATGACTCCACGTCTACCCTTAAACCCCACAGAAATTGATGTCCGGAAGATCATCGCGTGCGCTGAAGGAAACGAAAGTCTGATTCAACCAGTTGACGAGATATATACGCACCGCAAACATATTTCCTCGAACAGATTACGTTTTATACAGAGATCAGTGATCTTGACGAGGATGCCCTCGTATTTCTGTACAGCTAGATGTACAGATAGGCTGTGATCAGATAGACGAGATATATACGCACCGCAAACATAAACCCTCGAACAGGGTACGTTATATACAGAGATCAGTGATCTTCACAAGGATGCCTTTATATTTCTGTACAGCTAGATGTACAGATAGGTGATCGGCGAACATGACAAACAGCATCCCCGCAACCCGCCTTTTGAACTCCCCTGTATTTGCAAGACCCTTGAATTACATTCCCTGCACTCCTTATCCTAAAAACTGCTCAAGAGTGCGCGCGGAATGCTAACTAGATCGTCCAGTAAAACCTCTACATTTTCTGACAGTTCTCAACGTGCAATCATTTACATCCTTGATCACGACTAAATTTTACTCTTATCGCCTCGCAAATAACTCTGATCTGCACAGGCTTCTAATTATGCGTGGGTGGTTCTTTTCGTTCTTGTAAGATTAAAGAAAAAGATATGCATGATATAGATGATATAGATGATAGATCGCAACAGAAAAAGTAGAAAAAAAGGCCACAAAAGGCACGCCCCAAGGCTACGCTTCACTCTAGAGCAGGCGAACTCGAACATGTCACGTTTTTTACACACGCGTGGACTTCATAGCGTTCGAAGCCAATAGGGACTACACAATACAACAAAGAAAAGCAGCTGACACCGCACAATCTTACACAGCACCCCAAGATTCCAATCAGGTCCGCCTTACAATCGAAGACTTGGACGAGCTGACCATATCGTTGAAAAGACGAGACGAAGACCCCGATAGCAATCAAACAAGGATTACAGTCTAGAGAACTGTCAAACGCAAAAAAGCAAAACAAGCAAGCAATCTCCGGACATGTTATTGATGCCCGCTAGCATCAGAGGCTCAATTGAGCATCAACATACGAAGTGGGTTCGGAAGAAACGCACCGGCCAGCCCATCCAAGTTTGAGCGTGAGGCTCCCACTCCGCCGGCATATGGTAGTCATAATCCTTCGGGACGCCCGTCAATTCCACGGCCATCTCGATAATCTCTCGTCCTCGGCTCTTCCAATTCCTCCCCTTCCCTCCCTCACCTCACCTCAACTCCTGCGCGTGTCCACCAAATCGGCCACGGACTCGCCTCGCAGTCGACCGAATCGCCAGCCTGAACTAGAACACCATCGGCCGCTGCTGCCGCGGGCGGAGCGGGCAGGGAGCGGTCGTCTTTTACGTAACGCAAGACCATGTAAGACATGACGGCCATCACATCGCGCTTCTTAATTGCGCTCACCTTCGCGCGCTCCAGTACAAGCTCCAGTACAAGCTCCAAAACTTGTCTCCATTTTCTCGACTTAAGATCCTCGAAGGCCCTCCGAACGAAATAATTGGAATGGCTGGATTAATTCTAAAATAGCCATAGGAAAAACTGTAGCTATTGAAAACTATTTTATAATGAAAAAAAAGGGATAGGGATCAAAATGAATTTCTCCAAGGCTTTGCCTGACTTCCGTAACAGGCTTGGAAAGGCTAAAGAAGTGCTCGCTTTGGTCCACCCCAGCATTTTCTATTTCATAAAAAAACTAATTTTTGAATAAAAAGAGCCTGTTCCTTGCAAGTTTTACTTTGGTATTCGTGCTCCCGGTGGAATAAATGGACGAAATTATTTCTCAGTGCATATAAAATGGCTTGCGACATAAGTCCCGGGACGTACTTGGCTGCCGATTTAAGTTCAGACGATTGCATCTACATCAACGCCGTAGAGGTCCACAGAGGCTTGAGATATGCAGAGCTCCCTATTCGTGCAATTGAGATCCTGTCGTGACAGAAAAAGCGAAAGGGAAAGTGAAAGTCGTGAAAGTGGGCTCTACAAGATCGAGATTCCGGTCGAGATCCTGTAGTCGGAATGGACGGCCGTCTAGTGGGAAGGTGTGTCCGGAGCTCTCTGTAAGATTCCAGGAATCCGAAGATTTTTGGAATCGTTAGTGGGATGTCAGAACTTTGTCTGTACTCGACCCTCGCCCATTGCATTTATTTCCTCGAAAATGTGTTTTATTGGCAAAATTGCTCTTTACTGCAGATTATATTTATTCCATATGATTTAATCCTCCGGTGCATTCTCCGAGTGATCTACACACCGGATCCAAACACCATACTTCGAAAATTTATCCACTACTTCTATCCACGTATCTCTAATCCTACGAAATAAGCTCCACAAAAGTTAAACTTTGCAATATTCTGAGATAAAAGATGATACCTCGTGTGCTTATACATGTGAAGCTTGTGCATGTATATTAAATTTTCAAAGCTTGAAGTTCTTTAAAAAATAATTCAAAATGAAAAATCTAATTGAAATGTGATATGTTGAAATCATCATTTGTTGTTTTCAAAATGAAATTGCTAAAAATGATTTAAAAGTGCAAATGCAATAACCAAGTTTGATAACTCATTCGAATCATATATCCATTATCAAATAATTGAATTAACAGATATTATCATGATTATAGTACCCAAAAAAATTTTCACCCCGAAAGTAAGGAAGATGTGGATAAATTTATTTTATATTATGATGTATAAAGATCAATTATGAAAAATCTGGTTACTCAATACATTGAAATATATTTTATTAAATGAAGAATTAAGTGCTATTTTTAATATGAATGTAAACTTACTTCTGACAAAACTAATCCAGGAAAGGTTATTAAAATTATAATTACATATTAAAATTGAATAAATATGTGACAAATTTTTTTTTAGGAGTTTCGGACAGAGCATTTAAATGATCATCTAAGAAATCCTCGTTAAACGTTTATATTTTTTTGGTCATCAAAAAACAATATATATAAGAAAAAAAATTCAAATGTAATTTCAACCCAAATTTTTTTTTGGTTGTGAAAAACTTTTTCATAAATTATATACAGTTTTAAAATATCATTTTTTTAGGTGATGTTGGAAATAAACTCATCACTACATTATTTTGGCAGGGTATCATGTTGGCCATTTAATTAACTTGATGATTATTCACATTGTTATCTATATTCTTATTACCTCTTCTAATACATTTAGAGTAAAGAACCTCAAAATGATATTTTAATGATTACTTTTTTTTTCATTGGTCATTAACACTTTGGGTAACTTTAGGCTTGATCTACCATTTATATACATTTCTACGAGCTATATTTCTACTTTTATCTCTTTCGGATATCCAATGGGCTCCCTTTCTATCTTCAGTCACTTGTGTTAAAAATGTAACCTGGACACAAGCTTTACTTGGCAAACAACCTCCGTCGCCATAAACTCACAAGGACGAAGTCGTGGTGTTCTGCCCCGCCCAAAATAAGATGTCAGATCCTGGAGACACGGAAATTCAACATCGAGCGTGGCCAACCCGGTCTCACCCACCGCCTCCCGACAAAACCACACGCAGAGGACGTTTCCCGTCGATGGATCGACTGACTGCGTCCATGGACTGAAGCCGAACAGTGTTGGAATCTAGACAGCTCTGCCCTTCCTTTTCTGAACGGCCAGTTCGTATGTTCCCATTGGAGATCGAAGGATCATTGTCTCGAGCTGTTCTCGCGAAGCTGAGTCTTAACTCTATGGCATACAACAGATACGACGGCGTGTTGAGGAGTCGCTCCAAGAGTAAGCCAGGGTCGAGAAGGGCGAACTCCAAGTTCATCGTTCGAGATGACGGCGATGAGTGCAACTATGCCGCCGTCATCAGGCGGATGTTGCACGAGTTGGAGCAGGTCGCCGTCATAGAACTTCATTGCATCAATTTGGACACTCTTTTTAAGTCGAGAATGTTCTCCCTCGTTAGAGAAGCGTGTAGAGACGATGGAGTTTTCTTCGTGACTGGTCATGGCATGCCACCTTCTCTTCTCGACGACATGCAGCGAATGGCTTCAATATTTTTTTCGTTGCCCAGGGACGCGAGAGAGCAATGTTTGGCGTCCGTTGTCTCGGCACACCATACGAGATACGATGAAGATGGGAATGCTACCGAGGAAAGTTTCCGCATAGACAACGAACCCTCGGAGCTCTCCGACATCGATTGGCCCACTGAGCCAGCAGTATTCAGGTTGTTGCGGAAGAAAAGTAAAAGTCTACGTGCCTTCAAATGTCACGATAACAAGTTCGAGTTAGTTCTTGTTCCAACTTTGGGGTCTAGGTTCGTTTACATCTTTTATCACGTATCTTATAAAAAGATGATGTGTTTGGCTTTTGCACAGCAAGGTCATGGCCCGGTACTTGGTGGAGCACGAACATCTGGCTGGAAGGATTATGCAGCTTGTTAGCATATCGTTAGGACTTTCAGACAGTGCAATCATCAGTGCATGCTTTGAACCATTTTTCTCGATGACTATACATCACCATACGCAATATGCCGATGCGAATACTGGACAAGGTGTGCAGAATGGTTCTAAGCACTCCGGGGTAGTCACTATTACATTGCCAGATGACAAAGGAGGACTCCAAATTTGGAACGAAGGTCGTTGGAAGACTATAAGGCCATGCAAAGGAGCTGTTCTGATAAGTGTGGGAGATCAACTTGAGGTGCGTTTTTCATGTTTCTGTGTATATTCTTTCATTTAAGAACGAGTGGATGACGTGATTTGGCGTCATGTTTGTGAAGAGATGTATTAAATAAGTACACTTATCCTTTAGTATCGTTGACTATATTAGTTGCTATTTTTTAGTGTGTTTAAACTATGCTATAGATAACACTCACCACCTCTAAACACATGATAGCGCTAACAATAGGAGCTGCTTCACTCACCACCCTAGAAGGAAGATAAGTAAAGGAAACCATGGGCTACACCCGAATTTTATTGTGTGAGAAATATTTCAGATCAAAGTCTGGTTTACGAGACAAACAACAGTAACTACTGACGTTGTAGCTAGTGATGCTGCAACAACTACAGGATCAACAGCTACAAAGTCAATAGCTCCTCTTCTTTGTGAATCGATTGATATAGAGTTGATACATGAAGTATTTTTCACACAATAGTATCCGAATGTAGACCATGGTTGCCCGTTACTTTTCTTCCTTCTACGCCTTTACAGTCTTCTCATTGTCATCGCTATACACTTGACGCTTCCAAAGTATCATATTTGCGAAGCAAGTAAGATACCAAATTGGATTTATTATATTACATAAACTAACACGACACGTCATACAGATTCTGACTGAGGGAATTTGTAAGAGCAACATGCATAGGGTTGTGCCAAGTAAGGGCTCCGGGCAGATATTTATCGACGTGCATTACTGTACGTCACCAGATTCCCTCATGGACCAGGAAAGAATTGCTCCTGGACCTTCACATATACTGGAAAATAACACGGCTCAACCTTCACAGAGAGTGGAATCTTAGAACTCATGGTTAGAATACGGACTCTTGATATATGAACAGCGAAGCGATCTTATTTGGTATAGATCTGTATATGAACGCTAATTAAGCATTGATCCATAGGTAACTTGATATTTCTGAGGGATATCTAACAAGGATATGTCTAGAGAAAAGGAAAAGTCGAAACTCCTTGTCACGTAGAGTTATTCTAGTGAAAGGATGTACATAGTGAGCCATGAAAGCTGGTATCGACGATTGCCTCTAGCCACAACAACATACGTTGATCTTGGATCCTATTAGGTTAGATAGAGTTGCTACTGAACCTAGTGATCGAGGAGCAGATTGGATTGGAAGCTTAACTAGCAGGATATAGATTTTTTTAATTGAGCTTGTGAGAATGTGACCATATCAAAACAATATCATCTAAGTTATTGATTTTTTAAGTTCCCGGTGAGTTTGATTGGCTCTAAATTAATATGCATGTTGTGGCTACATACAAAAAGCTCATACAGATCTTAATGCACTTGCGAATTTAATTTAGTCTGATAATGTGGTGAAATTTATTTTTTTATACCCTTTTTTTTATCTATTATAAAATTGATCTATTCTTTGATGAATATGGAACTAACTAACTAACTATATATATATATATATATATATATACATATATATCATGACAGCAATTAGAAATTATAAAAAGTTCAATATTTTTGTGCTTGTTTATAGTTTCTTAATTTGTCTCTCTTAATTAAATGAATTTTGAATCAACAATTTGAATTATAGAACCAAGGAAATTGCATAATGTTTTGATGCAATAAAAAAATTTATGTTTGATACGAGCTATCTTCTTTTCAATGAATAATTATCATGACTATAAGCAAACATAAGGAAATGAAAAAAGTTTTTTTTTTTGATAACTCCATGAAGAAAGATAAATTTTCAAACAATGTTATAGAAAATGCAGGATAGAATGTCAAAAGAACATGCATACACACCGTAGTAACAATAAAAAAGGTTGTTTTGTCTTAACAATAAAAATTGTTGTTTGACATTCTTGGATTACTTCCACACAAACAATGAGATCTTTACTAACAAATCTACAATTTTTTCAATCTCAATCTCTTGTTTATACATAGTAGAAAAAAATATTAGATCTAGTTTTAAATTTATGCAAGATAAAGTTAATTAGAGTTAAATTTGATATTTGAATTTATACAAAAAATCTCCCCTTAATCCACGTTGTGAGTTCCATATCTTCCACTAACTAATTATTTTGTGAAAATTTTTAGAAAGAAATCTAACATAGGTTACTCTTTAAACAAAAACAAAAACATTATAGAGTGAAAATATATAAAGGTAATAAAAGTTGTAAATAAGTTCTACTTATGCTCCTCATGCAAATTTTTCATAGTATAATATTGTCTTCTAAATTCTCCATATTTTTTTATTGACCATCACATCAATTGAATTGAGTTTACAATCAATTTTGATCGCACACTAAATCTATGATAAAATGATATCTAAGTAATAAGCCTATTCAACAAGTAGTTTTTTTTCTGCTTATGTTATCGATAGATATTAAAAGTTTCCAATTGATGCAAAGTTTATGAAAAGTTGATGACATCTTTATCTTCTTAATGATATTAGTTGAATATTGAACTACGGAAAGTTTGAAGTGTGCTCACAAAGTAATCCACACTAATATATAATCTGTCATGTTAAACATGTTAAGCACACATGAAAAATACTTGCATTGATTCACACATGGTATCTTTTTCATCAAATTTATATAAAAATACTTCCTTGATATACTCTTGAATTTAGCCAAATCTTTCATCTTAAATGCAAATTTTATTTGTTCTTGCATATGTTGTCGTCGGATTGTCTTTTTGCCAAGATGAGCATGTGATACATATGGAGTACTAGATTAATAAGATAAATTGACTTTGAATATCTTTCTCACGTCATTTGATCAATTGTCTTTCTACATTCACTTGCCATAAATCAAAGTTTGATTTTAAGGAAGTTACACTAGCTTCTATGTCTTGTTATCAATCAACAACTCCATCTTTTGCTCCATAGCAACATTTCATTCAAGTTTATTGATAGAAGTTTGAATTTTTTACAAATAAAAGGTTCTATTTCTTCCAAGATCAACGCAATGTCATCATCATACTCCGAATTAATATCACAATTTCTCATGTCATTTGTTCAATTGTCTTTCTACGTTCACTTGCCATCAATCAAAGCTTGAATTTAAGGAAGCTACACTAGCTTCTATGTCTTGTTGTCAATCAACAACTACATCTTTTGCTCCAGTTCGTTGACAGAAGTTTGAATTTCTTTACAAGTAAAAGATTCTATTTCTTCCAAGATCAACGCAATGTCATCATCATACTCTGTATTGATATCACGATCTTAAAAAAATAGATGAATTAGCTCATAATTTAAACCTTGTAAGAATTCTTTTAAATTTGATCGAATACTCTCATAGTAAACAATTTTGGTTGAATTCTATTATTTGGTGCAGACGATTCTAGTAGATTTATATTGTTTGGTGCAATTACTTGAGTCTCACAAATAATAACGAGTTACTTTAATTCATTATTTTAAAAAATTTGCTCCATTTGAATATGCTTCATACAGATTAATTTTATTATTCTAGTCATCTACATGGATCACATGCTCATCTTGGCAAAAAACTAAACTAAGGATAATCTATGCAAGAAGAACTAAAATTTGCATTTAAGATGAAGTATATGATTAAATCCAAGAAGAAATTAAGGAACTATATCCATAAGAATTTGATGAAAAAAGATACTATGATTGAATCAAGGCAAGTATGTTTAATGTGTGTTTGACATGTTGAACATGATGAAGTATAAATTTTTTTGTTATCACACTTCAAACTTTCACTAGATCAATATTTGACTAATGTCATTCAGAAAAAGATGTCATCAATTCCTTATGACAAAGCTGTGAGCAATTTCATGTATTTGATGATGTACACAAGATTTGAAATTGTTCTTGCAGTGGGCAAGGTGAGTATTTGTCAAATCCAAAAAATATGCATTCGGAAACGGTGAAACAAATTCTTAAGTACTTGAAAGGTACTGAAGATAATAATTTATTGTTTGATTTTTTAGACAATGACAAATCATTGTTAGATTATGTTCAATCTCGATATGAACAAGATTAAATCTACAATTAGATATATATTTACACTTGATGATGGATGCATTGAATGCATTGGTTGGAAATTTATCTTGCTGAAATGCGTAATTCAATCTACAACAAAAGCTAAGTATATAACGGCAGTAGAAATAACAAAGTAAATCATTTGGTTAAATAGATTTATCACCAAGATGAGATTGAAATATGAAGTTGTCAATCTTTACTGTGAAAGCCAAAGTAGATTACATCTTGTTGCAAATTAAGTGATGAACAATAAAGTGAAACATATGCATCAATCTATTAGATATATAGTTTTTGATAAAAATGTTAAGCTAGTCAAGATGAACAATAAATTCAATCCAAAATTATTCCTTTGGAGAGTTTTACACATTGTGCTATAAACATGTTTCACATGAGGAGCTCAAGTAGAGTTTATTGCAATTTTTATTACCTCTATATAGCTTTTACTCTATCATGTTTTGACTACAATTTATTTCCAGTTTGCTTTAGTTTAAAGAGGGGTCTTTGTCATAATCACTTCTAGGATTTCTTGTAGAATAATTATATGGATAAGTAGAAGTTATTAGATTTTTTTTATTTTTGTGTGTCGACGTATTATTAAGTTTGAGTCAACTGTTAGAGGTTAGTAGGTAGATTGGTTGATAGTTGGTGTTGATTACTTATGCTGACAAGCAAGTTTGCCACTTAAATAATAAGTAAAATCTACTATTCACCAAAACACTAGGATTTTACTATTGTTCTGATGGTTGTAATTTATAGGCGAACCATATTAACTTTTAATATAGTATCTCTAAAATCTTGTATTATCCTGAATCACATTCTCTAGCTACGTTAACCAGAATTATGAGATCTTTGTTTAAAAATCTACAAAGTGTTTAGTGAGAGTTGTAGCGCACCTAACCGTTTATATAGGGTAGAAAAAAAAGCCTTAGGTTTTTTCCTAATTCTCATCCAAGTTAAGTTAACTAGAGTTATAATTGAGTTTTGAGTTAATTTTATTAGAAAAATTTCTAACTCTAATTTATTTTGAGCCATATCATACTCATCTTTATTCTTTTCAAAACATGAAAAATAATTATCATATATTAAATTAAAGAGAAAAAAGTCTGAGTATATTTCAATTGATTGTGAGATTATGAAAAATTCAAAATATAAAATGTTGGAATCATTTTAACAAATATGAAATCATGATTCTACATTTGTAAGGAGAAAATTGTAAACTTCATGCAAAACTAATATCTTTTTATTTTTATTTAAAAAAAATATTTATTGAGATTTTTCATATCTTCTTAATTTTATTTAATGATAAAAAGTAGTAGCTAATCATTATAGAATTTTTCATAATACAAAGTAAGATATCTTGAATCTCGATCATTTAAGCTTGATGGTTTTTACTGATACATGCAAAAATTTCAACTGCATCTTATTGAATGAAATCAAATCATGTTAAAATTCACATTTTTATCGTAAGTGTATATTTTATTAAATAAATTTTTTATTTTATCATAAAAAAATTTATTGAAATTTTTTCATCGTGAAATTAAATATAAAAGAAATATCATTTTACACAAGAAGTTACTTCAAATGAGTGAGAACATTAAATCTGGTTATAAAAATTATAAAATAATTCAATCTAAATATTCTTTAAGATGTTGGTTACAAGAAGATTGATATGAAATTTAATTTGATGTGAATTTTTAATTTATTAAGGTAACGGCAACTTATACCTCAGTTTATGCTAATTACCCCTCACCCTATTCACAGCAAGTGCTAAGTCCAAGTGTGTTGCGCTGGCAAGTACCTTCATGGACAATCCGTTTGTTCCCGTGAGAACACACAAGATCTGATACCTTGATAGCTCCATCTTTCTTATTACCAACATGAGCTTAATCACGACTGCTTAACATTAACTCAACGCGTAAACTTGCACTGTGGCGAACCTTTGGTGGTGCTGATCAATCACAAATCACTTCTTAAACGATTCATATACTTTTTGTAGGGTGAAAATAATTAACAGTGATAACTAGTTAGCACTTTTATTAAATTCTAGCACATTCAATATTTCTTATGAACATATAAAGAACTTTGAAACAAATACATTCAATAAATTTAAGAATACAAGGTTATAATTTGAAGTCTATATATGATATTTTCTATCAATATTGGCCTTTTCATTTTGGCTTCACCTATAGTTACATCTAACTATCTGTGAGGTATCA